ATCCAGGAGGAGCATGCTTTGTTAAATAAAATGGTAAACCTGAAACTTTCAACAAATTATGAAAACAATTAGCTGGGAAAGACCTTAAATCAAACAGACCACTTCAAATCTCATTCACCCAAGCATTCAAGTATAAAAGGAGCCCCGCTGCTTCTACAAACAAACAGCCCCTCACATTTCCTCACCATTTGTTTAGTCAGCAAATATTTTTTGAATGGGACATTTCTTGGTTAGTTGTTTATTTTTTTTCCTACTCACTTCAGAAAAAACAAAGAAACAAACTTTGGGGGAAATGTGGCCAAGTGAATTGTTTCTGTAAAAGTTTGACTAAATTAAAGCAAACAAATAGATATAAATATATAATCACCTCCCAGAGAATGTAGGTTAAATATAGTAAAGAGGCTTATAAACGCTATTAGATTTTGATCATATATGATACATATATGTACACAGATTTATATATATATATATATAAAATTGCAATATGATTCCTCCTTTAATGAGGAATGAAAATGTTTTTAAGCAACTAGCTTGCCAATTTTGCCTAAATTTAATTTGCCTAAATCTAAGTTCACACTGGCATGTCTGGTTGGGAAAAAAAAAAAAAAGATGAATTAGGTGGAATGGGAATGGAGTGATTGACAAGCTTGGAAATTAACAATATTTTTCTAGGTATCCAGAGTAAAGGTCTCCTAATAGTTTCCTGGAGGAAGATGAAGTGTTTTTTTGTTTTGTTTTGTTAATGATTTGATGCCCAAATCATACATCTGGCAAAAAACCATTTTTCTTACCAGATGGAGGACCAGTCTGAGAATCCCTGACACATTTCTTGCCAATCCAGATTCCTCCAAGCCTTTCTCCTAATCTTATGAAAACTTCTGTGAGCAAAGCTGCACAGGGCTAAAGGTCTGACTAAACAGGGTGAGACATAACTGAGACATGGAAGAAAACACGCAGCCAGCTTCCTTTTCACGAGGGAGGGGCAGGGGCATCAGTCAGGCTAGTGGGGGAAAGACTGGAAGACTCCTGGATAACGGACGCACTGGCCTGTCTCTGTTTCAAGTCCTGTGAGCGTAAACAACGCCATGGGTAATGTCTACTTGGCAGGACTAGTGTGGCTGTGCACGTGGTACTGCTCGCTACCCTGGGCTGTATCACTTACTCTTGTGCAACAGCACGCACCACCAGGAAGACGGTTAATTCATTCTGACTCACTGTAGGGTTAAGTAATGCTTTCTTTCACTTATAAGCAATTGCAAGGAGTCTATAAATGAAAATTATTCCATGACTGAGAAAGTGCATGACACCCAGAAAGTGAACGTTATTACAGGAGCAGCACTGACTCTTTCAATTATTTAAGGCCAGTGAACTTCACAAATCAGTCTCTAAATCAGATTTTCTCAATGTGGGAGCTTCTTTGTGTCCATTTTTCACCTTTGGAAGCAGTTTTTTTTTGTTGTTGTTGTTTGTTTATTTTTTTTTCAGATTGCTGTTTGCTGAAATAAGAAAGAATTTCAAAAAATAGTCTACTAGTATAAAGTGACAATATAGTAAACAGAAAACAGTATTTTTGAAACTAGTGACATTTAAAAATGGTAAACAGCTTGAAGTAATGGAAACATAAAGGACTATTGTAAATCTTTTCTATTTTTAAGATTTACTTTTAAACTGTATTAGCTATTATTTATTAAGTAAAAATTATTTCAAATGATCATCCCTTCAACTCTAAATTTTAAAGTAATTTTACTTCAACCAATATTAGGTTACAAAATCTAGGCATTTGAATATAGTAATAAAACAGTATAAGCTAATATTTTGATTGTGAGTTCACTTAACAATTTACCCAAATATTAATCTGCTGGTTCAATTATATTTCACATCTTAAGTCTCTTACCTCGGACTGTGAGGGTAGCAGAAGCTTCCACTTTTCCGACCCGATTCTCAGCAATACACATATACGTGCCTTCATCCGTACTCATGGCCTTTTTGATTCTCAGCGTGTAATCATCTTTGATGTCATACCTGTGCAGAATATGAATTGGCTTTATTAAATAACATTGGTTATATTTAGATAACACTAAATATTCAGCTTCGTTTTTCTCTTTTTATATTATATACACAGGCACACACACACACACACTGTTCAGCCATAAAGTACAACTGTTTAGATTAAATGTATTGCTAATAAGATCATTAATTTCATATCTGATCTCTAGCTTCTTGATTATAAATTACCTATAACTTATATATGTATACAACTCTGGCAGCATCAAAACTATCAAAGGCATTATTAGCACTTTGGCTTTTTTGGGTAGCTCTTAGTAAGGAAATAATGTATGCTTTAGTTTCTTGGTGAGTTATATTCTATCATTTTGTGAGTTACACTGCATTCAAATATATGATTTATTTTTATGACATCTTGAATATAAGAGAGCTGAAACACATTAAAGAAGAAAAGTCTTCTCTTATTTGTTGGCAAATTGACAAAAGAGACATTGGTTAAAATAATTAATAAGGTGTAATCCCTTTTAAAAGTAGCAATATTAACTTTTAAAACATCAACATGTCTTGTAGTGATTTATGGAAATGCACACCCTTAGCTCTTTCATAAACATTTCTTGCCACATTTCTGGTTTTTTAGCAAGTACACTAACATACTAGTTCAGAAAAAAATTCTAAAATTTTAACATGAATTTTTTAAGAGCTTACATAAGAATATGCTCTTTTTAGATTCTAAGAAATTTTAATTACACAAAGTCATAAAGAAGTTATCTTTACATCCTTTTCATATCTGATTTTTCTTACCGATTTTCACTGATGGGCTTTGTGATTTCACACAACAGCTTCTGAATGATCACAGTGCCTCTCTTTCTCATACATACCACACAGTCAAAGCTTTATTTTCAAAATATTACTTTACTTGTTTCTATCTGCTCACAATTAGCTGTGATTTTCTGTTGCTTTCAGGACCAAAACAAACTTTTTAGGCGTGCATTGAAGACTATTATAATCAGATTTCTTCCACTTCTAGTTTTAGCTAAAAGAATAACACAGCTTAACTTTATTACAAGCTGAGACATGGACCTAATAAAAGTTCTGTTTTACATAACTTTGCAAGACAGAAAGTGATGTCTACGAATGAGTCATGCCAACTAAACTTAACTATCCAAGCTCCTCCATCCTCCAGTTATGGTGGTTACTTTTCTCTCTGCATGTTTTGGTTAAATTTCCGCTCATTTTCAATGTCATAGTCATGAGGAAAGCCTTCACTACCTTGTGTGAAGCCAAGCATTATTACCCCAAAAAACTATGATTATTCTCTCCTCAAAAGACAAAACAGAAAACAAAACAAAAATAATTATTGTTACACCAGTCACTCTGCATTGCTTCCATTTTGTACTGTCTGTTTCGATAAAGGCGGAGATCCTATCTGTTTCACTCACTGCTATATCCACAGGCCCGACCCAGAGCTTTTGACATCCAGTAGCATAACCAAGGGATTAAGAGCGCAGACTCTGCAGCCAAACGGCCAGAGCTTTCATCTTGAGTTCTGCCTCCTCCTATGCTTGTAATGGTGGACAAAATACTTAACTTCTGTAGGTCTCAATTTCCTCACTAGCTAAACGTGCTGATGATAACACCTATCTTATGGATTGGATGTGAGCTTTAAAGGAGATATTACTTATCAAGTGCATAAAAGTGGCACACAGAAAGCACAATACATGTTAGCTATTTTTATTACACTCACTAGGAGCTCAAGAAATATTGGTTGAATGCATGATGAATATCATTTCTTGCTGATATAAAGCTCAACCAAATGTGAATGACTGCAAGACAGCAAATTTGCCATATTTATCTCTTAGGGCTTTCTCATGGGCTATATGTAGAATTTGGGGCAAGTACTCGACTGAGATGCATGAGAGAGTAACATTACACAGAAACTTTCTCTGCTTAACTTTGCCAATTAAAAACATGAGAAATAATGATTTGGATGATAACTTCAGAAAAGTTGCTGGTGATATATTTAATGTCTAACAAAAATGTTTCCTGCAGTTAACCTATATTCTACATGACATGTTTAGCTCTAAGTTATAAACACTGAATAAAAACAATGTATATGGCAGACATTTCTAATTCATCTCAAAAAACTGAATTCTGGCTATAGTTTTGTCTCTAGTTCTTGTTTGACTTCTGAAAAGTCTCTTCATCACTCTGAGTTTTCTCAAAAGCTGAAAGAGGGAAAAATAAACTTAATTTATAAAGTCCTTTCTGGATCAAACACACATGAAAAATTATTCTATGTAAATTAAAGATACTTATATTGTACATTAATTCTGATTTCTCATTGAGGATACAAAATCAGAAATTGTATATTGCTTCACCATTAAAAAAAAAGATTCACACACATTAGCACATTTCACAGAAATAGTCATTTAACAGTTGAGGAAACTGACCGTTAGTCAGTGAAATTATTTGCTCAAAGTCAGTTTGCTACTAAAGAGAAAAACCAAAGAATTCAAACCTTGATCTGACTCTCAACCTGGCATTTTTCCCCCTGCTCTGTGGTACCCCTTCCCCACTGCAAAATACTTAGTTTACTCTTTTAATGTTAACTTAAGACACACAAGCCACATTATTTACATCATTTGAATAGAAATATAATTTCACATTGAGCAAACATTTAGTTACACCTTGTGGCAAAATTTCACTTCAGGTTAGATAAAGTCACTTATATAGGGAACACCATGGGAGACAGGGACAATGTGAGAGATATTTATGTCTGACTCTAGTAAGAAAAAATGTTCAATTAAAAATTACTGATTACATAATATTTGAGCCCAAAAGAAATCTGAAATCTCACTTGCCAAAATTTCTCCCTCTTCTTTTTAAGGAGTGAAAGTGTCAAGAATAGTAATAGGAACATTGCATTGTGTGTGTGTGTGTGTGTGTGTGTGTGTGTGTGTATAATTATATACAACTTATATATATAGAATTTTAACTTTTTGGTTGTTGTTTTGGGTTCCCTGATCAGAAATACAAGTAATTCTGCATTCTACCCTATGATTGCAATTTTTGTTTCCATAGGAAAAACTAAAAATGAAATATTGCTTGGGAGGCATCAATTGAATTAATCTTAGCTGCTAATAAAAGGGATTACCTTTCAAAGATAGCATACCTTTACAAGCAAATAGTACATTTCCTTTTTTTAAAACTCTGTGACAAAGTTTCAGATATAGACTGTAAAAGTTGAGTAAGAACAATGGTCTGGAGGTACAAAGGTAATTTTAGAATATCTATAGGACTCCAGCTAGGTACAGAGAGTACATGAACCCAAGTAATGAGCTCAGCTGCAGTGAGAAAGGTAAGCTTTGTAGTAGAAGAGGTTTTAGGATGGTAAGTTTAATACTCCTGCATGTAAAGCGCCTTGTGTGGTTCATGGGAATTAGTAGATGCTCACTGGGCATTATCTCATTTTAATTTCCCCTTAAAGATCCTTGAAATTGGAGATTATAATGAAGGTCTATTTTATTTAAGAAATTCTTACGACATGTCTCCAACATGCCAGACATTGCATTAAAAGCTGGGGATACATGCCTTCACAGGGCTTCCAGCCTAGGGAAATGATTCTCAGATGGAAGACATAAGGTCTGCCTTGACATAAGTGTGGATCAGAATCACCTTTAAGGCTTTCTCTAGCTAATGCACATGTTACCCTGGTCCTAGGGTTTGATATGCACACATTTCTGAGCACAGTGCTATCTTTTCCCAATTAGAAATAACTGCTGCAATACACTAGTCCTGTGAGGTCTTACTACACAGGGGGGTTGAAATTTAAAAACAAAGAAAAACAAACACACTTCCAGGATTCTCAGTTACTGGGGTGCTCAGAATTTTTTAAGTTCTCATTTTCATTGGATCTTTGCCTAAGGAGAGATTGTGCATATTATGAGCATTATGGATTTATATCAAAAATACTTTAAATATATATAAAATGATTGACTGCCTCTTTTAAGAGAAACTTTAAAAAGCTCACCTTTGGCAACCATTCATCAACACTTGACTCCTGTCTGCAACAATCTACCAACCAGTCTTCCAGCCTATTTATAGGATGAGTGACTTCTTCCATCTTTGAACATCTCTATTATCTTCTATATATGATGAAACAAAACATTCCTTCCAGAAGTTTCTACTAATGCTATTACTCCTTGTGCCAACCAGAAGAATACACTCTCTCTCGTGCAAGACAGCCTTTTGAATTTTGGGTTTCCTATGAATTATGTTATTTTTATGTCAACTATTTCTAACAACAACAAACTATATATAAGATAATAGCAGTTATTCAATCTAAGGGTTTAAAGGAGAATAAAAGCTTCGCTGATTAATTTACCTAAATCTGGTATGTTGCTTCATTGTTTGAAACTATCCAATGGCTTCTCATTCAGCCACTTAGAATAACATTTATTTCTATGGTTTTCGAGATTTTTGGATAATCTGTCCAACTTCTCATTCATCCTCTTTAAATCACATGGTCCTTTTTTTTTTCTTTGCTCAGCGTAACTGCCTAGTTACCAGTGTGTCTGTTCTTCTATTGTAACTTCATGGAATGCCCTTCATTTTTCAGGGCCAATCATTCTTGACTTTTAAGATAGATCAAATATTCCCTCAAAGATGTCTTCTTGCCCAAACAATGTAAAGTAACTCTCTGCCCACCAGAAACCTTTAAAAATTACTCTTATTTGTTTTTATTCTTTGCTTTCATTTCTTTTACTTTTAGTACTTTTTCACTTTATCACATTTTTGTTAGCTGATTTATTGTCTTCTAGTTTCCAAGAGTATGTATGCTCCATGAGAACAAGAACTGATTCTCCCTTGTTCCAAAATATATACCCCAAGCTCCACCAGACAGCACCTGAGATCCTGGATGTGCTCAAAGAATGGTTTTTAATGAATGACGAAACATCCAACAGATGCTTAAAATTCTTTGGCAGTTCTTTCATAGCATGGTTATTAGTAAAACAATT